GCAGACCCTTCCCTGCACCCAACCATCTCCAGCTGTAGTTGTCCCTGTGTGTTCACCCCTGTCAGCACAGAGGCAGCTGGAGGCAGAGCTGGAATGGCAGCAGGGACCCAGAGCCTCAAACCACCAGGGCACTTCCACCTGCAAAACTACCATAGTGAGAACTCACCAGCAGTTTATAGTTTTGAGTCTCAGCTGTGTCATCACAGCTGAGCAGAGACTGAAGGGCCCCAAACCCAGTGGCCACTCTCTGTCTCAGATCTGGAGGAGAGGCAGAGCCTCAGGGCAGGTTTGCTGCCCCTGCTTCCACCAGTGCAAAGCCCTCACCTGGGTTTGCTGTGAGATGAAATTATCCACAGGATCAGATAAATCTCAGGGCAATCACCCTTTAATTGACCCCCTTATTGCATGAAAAGACTGATTTCCAGTTTGCCTAAATGCTAAATTACAAGGCATTTCAATGTGCAGTGCAGTACAGGGCAGGTGGGGACCCCCCTGCTCCAGCCAGCCTGGCCTTGCTGGCTGGAGCCAGAGGCCACCCTGGTTCCCTCCATGGCCTTGGCCATGCACAGCTATCAAAAGCAAAATGCAGGGCAAGTGTCCTCACTGCATGAGCCTGCAGACAGTCAAAGCTGGGCTGCACTCTTGGTTACTTGCACCATTCGACCTGCACTATTGTAAGATTTAATTGCAGTTAAAGTTGTGCTTCCATCCTCACCTGTCTCTCTCCTGGCAGAGAACCCAGGAAGTGAGCCCATGCTGCCTGTGCAAGCATGGCTGTGATCACTGGGTTTTGTGGTTTTTCTCTACTGGTGAATGAAGTGTGACCAGACTGACCCTGACACCAAAGATGGGTGTCAGGGAACAGAGCAAGTCCTGCCTTTAACCTCTCCTCTGACACCATGCTGCCCTTCTGCCAGCATCCCTACCTCTGGCAGCTCTAGCCCTGCTGGGAATGGTCTGGAGAGGGAAGCCTTGGCCTGAGATGCTCCAGGTTAATGATGAGCCTGGGAATAGCCTTTGTTTTTGATGAATTCAGTTTGGGTAACGTGTCCTGGGTGTTGGAGGATGGTGAGACAACCTGGAGCAGAGATGCAGCACATGGAGACTGCAGGTTGCTGTAAGATGGAGGCAATCCATATGCTCAAGGCATGTGGGAACTCACCAGATAGGAAATCAGTGCTCTGAAATGCCTGACCTTACACTGCAGCATCTCCCTGCTCCCTCACCAGAGGCTCTCCATCTCTATTAAAAACAGCCACTGCATTGGTACAACTCTCCAGATTTTCTCATGTTTCCTGTTAAGAGTTTCAGAGTCCAAACACAAGTCAAGGTCTCCAGCAAGTTCAGTGAATGTCCATTAATCTTTCCTGGTTCAGGCACCCCATCAGCTCAGTAAAACCCAAGTCCAGAAGAGTTTCAGGCTGTCAGAAGGGTGGGCTGTTGCAGGCCATACTGAGAGCCTGTCCTAGGCCTGCTGCAGATGGATTCCAACAAATCACCTTTCTGCAGGGGGCTGGATATGCAGTTGTATCCAAGGGCTCCAGAGACTCAATGAAGCTGGTTAATTAATTTCTAGCAGGGAGAAGGCTGATATCCACCTGTCAACAGCATCTATAGATACCCTGTGGCTCTGGGAGGAAGATGGGAGCTGTAGGGATGGAATCCCATGGATTTTGTGTCCCCACTTTTCTCGCCTGCTCAGAGGCTGCTGCCATCACAGCTCGCTTTCTCTCCTGCCCCCCCATGAACTGGCTCCAGGGAGAGGCATGGAAACTGGGACAGTTGACAGCACAAGAATGGGAACAGCCAATGGCATGGGAAGGAAAAGCCCGAGCCCCTCCGGCTGGAGCAACCCCCTCCCACAGCTCGGGGAACAAACGCACCAGCGAGCACAGCAGCCACCAGGAAATAACAGCACTAAGGAAAGCCCATGTATTTGGTATTAAGTCTTTGCCACTGAGAAACACAAGACCAGGCTTTTGCGACTGCCCTAATTTAGCTCTTTCCCTCTGGAAAGGACTATTTGTGAAATGCTTTGTGCTCATGTCCCCAGCATTAATCAGCCCCTGTCAGCAGCCAGCTCCGTGCTCCCCCTGCACTCGCAGGTGCGCTGCTCTAGCCCACCCTCCCACGTGGCAGGTACCCAGCGGCTCCAGCCTTTCACAGCAGATATCCAAGGGGCTCAAAAGTGCTTGAAGATTCTTCTTTTAATTAGAGGAGCTCTGGAGACATGCTATATTCATATGTATTTCCTGCTATTTTTTTAATTTATTGCTACATCAGCTATTAAAAAAAAAAAAAAAAAGGCAAAAAGAAGAAAGGAAGGGAGCTGCCACAAGCTGAGCGCCTTTTGGGATGACTCACTGCATCACTGAAATGGCTGCTGGCTTCAGACTCACCCTGCCTCTGCGATTTGCTTCCAGACTGCAGAAGAGACCATGGCAAGAGGTTTTGCCCCCCTTGCCCGTGTGGAGGATTTGCTGTGTGGTTATTGACATAATCCACGCCAGCCTTCAGCGGTGGAGACTTGCCTTCCTCAACAGAGGAAGATGGGGGAGACATGAAAGGAAGAGATGGCGAGGCATTTCCAGCTGACCTGATTTTCTGCTTGTTCCCATCTCCACATCACTGCTGGTTAGCTCAGGAGTGGCAGCAGGGGCACGGGGCTGGCCCGTGGGGAGCTGTGCTTTACCAGGGCCATGGCTGCTGGCCCGTGCCGTGGGGAGCTGTGCTTTACCAGGGCCATCGCAAACACAGCTGAGCCAAGGAACAGCCCTTACACCTCAATTTGCTGGAAAACAGCCTCAAAGTGGGAGTGTCCCTTTCCTGCCACAGCTTGCCAGTGTCAGTGCGAAGGCAGGCCAACAGGCTCTGGCTGGCTCGTGGCAGAGTCAGGCCTTTTGCCTCTGAACTTGTGCAGAAAAGGGAGAATTCACCTCAGGTGCCATTGATGCAGCAGCCAAGTCCCCTCTGAAGGATGCTGTGATGCCAGCACAAACCTGCACGGGGCCTCTGCAGCCTGGGACGTGAACTTCTCTTCTCTGCAGTTGCTTCCAGGCAGAGCCTTGAGTGGGGCCTCTGCAGCCTGGGATCTGAACTTCTCTGCAGTTGCTTCCAGGCAGAGCCTTGAGCTGCAGCAGGAGACATGGAGGTATCTCCTCTCCGTGTCTCTCCAGCTCCTTCCCAGGGTGATCCCTCCAGTCTGGGAGCAATAAGGACAGAGCCCTGTCATCTCCTTTCCCACTCATGATTCAGCTCCTCCACACGGCCTAGGGACACTCAGTGAACCTCCTTGAACTGGGAGAGCTGATTTTGGGGGGGCCAGGGCTGAGGTCTACTCTGTAGCAGAGCATAAACAGGGCTCTGGTGCAGACACAAAGTGCCAGATGGAGTGGGCGCCCTTGCAGCGCCAGGCACAGCTCCTTCCCTGAAAAATGGCTGGATGAGAACTATTTTCAGAAGGGAAAAGAAAATTCACCCTGATCACCATATGTCAGTGACAGGCAGAGAAAACCCCACGTGGGAGCCAGCCCTCCTCCTCCCCTGTGGGCTGCACCCCGCCGGGGCTCAGCACCCACCATCAGCCAGGCTCGCAGCTGCCTGGAGCACACAAAGATGGGCATGTTTATCTTGCAGCTTCCAGGGATGCTCAGCCATCTCTAATTGCCACAAAAATAAATGCTTTTTGCTTCATATCACAGAACAGAGGAATTTCCCTCCGTTTTTTTTTTCTTTTTTCTTTTTTTCCTCTTTTCTGAGGCCTCCCTCAAAGTCATCCCTTCCCCCTCCCTCCGCTGCCTCCTTGCCATGTAAACAAGCCCAGGCACACACAGTCTGACACATCACACACATGGAGACACGCTGATGGCCCTGCAGCGGCCAGCTCTCCCTGGCACAGGGACAGGACTGGCAGCACACGCGGGAGGCGGGCGTGCGGGCAGGGGGAAGGATGCTCGCCACCAAAAAGAGCTCTCAGTCCGCCTCGTGCAAGCCTGGAGAAGGCTGAGAGCCCTCGGGCTCCAGCCCCTCGGACTATAACCAGCAAGCCGATGGAAGGGACGCAGAGGGTGCTGTGAAGTGTCACCCCGTGCCTGTGTGACACAGCTGCTCTGTGCCGGCTGCCGGAGCAGTGAGCCATCGCTGCGGGGACATGCAGCCCCGGCCGTCACCCTGGGAAGGTCCCTTTGCCATCCTCTCCTCCCCATCCCCCTGCTCCAGCAGCTGACTTGGGGCAGTGGGTGCGCTTGCGGTGCCCCCCGGGCTGGCATGGCAGCTCGCTGACCCGAAACCAGCGTGTGCCATGCAGGGGCTCGCTGCCTTCACCCACCTCCCGGTGAGCCTTTGAAGAGACATCGAGGAGCGCAGCAAGCTGGGGGAGCGCTTCCCCGCGGGGCTGCCCCGGTGTTCCCGGCTCCGAGGAGCAAGATGGAGATGGATGGCACGGAGGGCGGCTGCGAGGGCAGGGGTGCGCGGTGTGCCGCGCTGCCCGGGCCCTGCTCGGCCTGACCGCGCACGGCACGGGAGCGCCCGGCGCTGCCGGCTGCGGGGGCTCGGCCCCGAGGGCAGCGCTTGGCCCCCGGGCAGCTCCGCAAAGACCTGGGGCAGCCCGGGGCCGGGTGAGACGGGCACGGCTGCCACGGCCATCCTGCGAGCTCTCCCGCCTTCCAAGGCACTCCCAGCAGGTAAGACTTCAGGAAAGCCGGGGGTACCCCCGCCTGGTCCGGATTCCCGGCTCGGTGCCGCCTGACAGCTGTGGCGGTGCCTTGGCAGGGGACAGCGCCAGCCCCGCACGGAGCTGTGCCCACCTGCCAGCCGCTTTCGCCAAATTCGGGTCTTGGGCTTGCCCGGCGGGTTCTCCCCGGGCATCCTCAGCCCTGTGTCCTGCACAGAGCTCGGCAGGGGCTGGCGGGAGGCAGCCGCGAACCGGGCACCGGCGGTGTGGAACCGGGGACTGGGAACCGGGAGCCGGGCTCTCCCGCCCGCTCCCGCGCCGCGGCGCCGGCGGGCGGGGGACCGCGGCACCGGCACCCGGGGCGGGCGGGGACCAGGGCAGCGGCATCGCGGGGCGGAGTGGGGACCCGCGGCATCGGCATCCCGGGGAGCTGCAGGCACCGGCATCCCGGGGACCCGCGGCGCCGGCATCCCGGGGCGCGGCGAGGACCTTAAGATCGGTAACACAGGGAACAGGGCACCAGCCTGCGAACCCCCGGGCATCGCAGGGGTCAGCAGCCTGGGGTGCGTCGGGGACTCGCGGCATCGGCAGCCCGGGGTGAGAGGGCAACCGGAGCAGCGGCATGCAGGGGAAGCGAGGCACCGACATCCCGGGGTAAGCGGGGAGCCGCCGTGCCAGCATCCACACCCCGGGATGCTGCTGGGTGCCGGGGCGCAGGGACACTCCTCCCTGTCCCTCTGCGGGCGGGTGTAGGGCAGTCCCTCGCCCCGGAGCCTGCCTTCCCCGGGGGCTGCATTCCTCCTCCCGGGGAACGGAGCACGGGGGTCCCTCTGGAGAGCTGTGCACGCTCAGCGTGAGCCCTGGGAGTGGAGGCTGGCACAGCGCTGGGCTCTTGGTAATCACCCTCTCCTGCACCCGAGGCGAGCAGGGAGTCCCCCGTCATCTCCATCTCCAGCCCTGAGCATTTTGGTGGCCTCTGAGCACGCAGCAGCAGCTTGTGCTCTGCCTGCAGGGAGCAGCCAGTAGTGGGAATCCCCCTTCCATTCTCCCCACTGCCTGCCTGGCAAACCCCGCACCGCCCAAGGCACGGCTTGCTCCTGAGCATCTTCAAGCCGATGAGCACGAAGCCGCTCAGCAATGGGGATGGGGCTCTGCAGGGGCGGTTTCGGATGACCAGAGAGCAGATGTCTCCTCAGTCCTGTCCCAGCATATGGGGACACCACCCTGCAGGAGCTGGGACGCCACCCACTCCCACGGGCCCTCCAGGTACTGAGCAGGGGACTCCCAGTCCTATCCCAGTTCCATGGATATCTTGCACAGGATCTCCTCAGTGGTCTGCAGCCACCACCCCTGCACGCATGGGACATGCACGGTCACAAGCCCCGGGTGACAGGGCATTTAGGGTAGGCTACAGGCAAAGGATAAGAGGTCCCTCCTCCTCCTCTACGCATTCCTAATGGCTCCTTTGAGACAAGCCACACGACTCCCTGCTGGGAAGCCTCGCTGAGCTGTAAGTACAGGGGTTTTTATTTGGGCTGTTAATCTAAATCCATTGTACCTGGCTGGAAAAGACCCTGTGTGCAATGCTCCCTGCACTTGCTGCATCCTCACTTGAATGTCTATTAGCACCTTCCTTCCCACTCCCCTGAGTTCCCTCTGTCAGGTAGAATAAATATACATAACTTCCATTTGAAAGCCTTTGAGAAAAAAATATGTTGTCAAGGGAAACTCTTCTAGCATTTCTTATAGACATGCTTGATGTGTTTTATATTTTATTTTTATTCTCATAAATGCATATACCAGGGATTTTTTTTCTCCACAAGATAGATATTAATTTGAACGCCCAACACCCAGCTCACACTGGGCTTGTGTAATTCTGACGGTTGTCTCAAAATAGCTTACAATATATTTCAACATCTATCAGAAAGAGACTGGCTTGATCTGTTCCTTTTTTCCCAATCATTCATGGAAATTTTGGGTCAACCAAAGGAAAATTTTGCAAATTCACTTTCTCCCAGACAGACACATTTGTATTCTCTGTTCATCGTGCTTTTAAATAAAAATCACCCAAGCTTCCAAAGTGAGCTTCTGTTTCCCAGCTGAGACCCCTGCAAATGTGAATGGGGCGCACGCTTTGATGGCCCAACAGGGGAGATCACACTGGGTCCCAGTTCAAAGCCCAGTTCTGTTCTAAAGCTGAGCTTAGCTGTTCGTGAAACAAATAGGCAAGAGAGTTATAAAACTATTAATTGCTGCTTTAGATTCCTAGATGAAAGCTGCATGTGGGCAGAAATAATTTGGTCTATTCATAAGTGAACATGATAAAGGAACATCTCTGGCAGTTCGTGACCCTTCTCCTCGCTCTGCTTCCAGTGCAGCAGGGATGGAGGGATTTCCCTGGAGTACAAAGCCTGCAGGGTCCCGACATCCACCTTTTAATTTTGAGCTGGGAGCGAGGCAGGAGCCATCCCCTTCTGGCTGTCAGGGTCTGGCATGTCTCACCCAGAGCCACAGCTGTGCACTGGGGATGGTCTGGCTGAGCTGGAGCAGTGCTTCAGGCTTGTCCTGCCATCCTGGGCTGCCTGTGCCCCAGCCCAGCCCCCAAACCACCTTGCCTTTGATTTTGGTGGCCTGACCTTTGAGAGAGCTGCTCTACAGGGAGGGTGCAGGGAGAGTCTGAGGCTGGTTTTGGGATAAGCTGGATCCCACAGATGCACCTCCAGGGCCCCCCATCTGTGTGTGTGTGCTTATAGCCTGAATGCATGAGCATCCTTCTGGAAGGAACCTGGATTAGTCATCCCTACCCCACAGATGGGCTGTGTGATGTCTTCTCTGGAAAAGCTAATCTGACACTGAAATTCCAATTTATCCCCGAAAGAAGGGTTTACACCCCTTCTTCTCCCTTGCTTTTGGCTTAAGCATTAAAAATGGATCCTTCTCCTTCTTCCCTCCCGTTTGAAAGGCAAGACATGAGTCCATTAAGCTCTGAGGTTTATCACCAGCTGGTTGCCTCCTCCAGACGTGGTGTGATGGAAGTGCTGGTTGTGGTGCAAAGCTGTGTCTTTAAGGAGCCCCAGGCTGGGAGATGCAGTGGAGTTCACAGATGCCTTTGCCAGGCTGTTTCACACAAATCTGGCATTTCCTGCACCCACAGCCAGGCTCAGCTTAAAAAACACCTCCGGGGCTTTACCATGGCTCCATTACCTGTTCCTCTGCAGCTCTGCTCTGCCCTACAGGTTTAAAGGTCACCGTGTCCCCCAGGCCCCTCCCAGTCCGACAGACCTTTTACACCGAGGTTCTCAGACTGGAAAGCAGGTGTTTGCCCCATGAATCCTGTGAGATGGCTGGTGAGGAAGAACTCACAGACTCCCCTGGGTGGAGTGACCCACCTTGTGTCCCCGACCTGGCCTTGGTCCTTGGTGGCTGCTGTGGGACCAGGCTGTTCTCTGTGGGGTCTGCTGGCATCTCAGCATCACTGCAGGGGCCGCAGCCTTTTCTCCCTCAGCTCCTGCTCCCTGTTTTTGCCCTCTGTCCCTGTGGTCCCTAAAAACTTGGAAAATTCTGTGGGTGACATAAGACAGGAAAGAATGTAATTCCTCCACCAAGAGAGCAAAGCAGTGTCCCTCAAACCCCACCACTCTGTGCCAGGAGCAGGGAGATCCCCTGAGTACAGGGCTGCTCCATGTGTCCCCTGGTTGTTTTGATGAATAAAGTAGGTGGGAAAATCTGATTTCAAGGTGGTGCATAAAGATCACAACGCTTTTTATTTTCCTTTTTGCTCTAAACTTCTGGTCAAGACAGGTAAATGCATCTGCATCTAGGAATGCTTTAACTGTTTTTCATTAGTAAATATAATTTCTGCTGCACAAAAAAGCCCAGCTCCCTGAAACTTATAAATCCCTAAAATATGATAGAAATCAAAACTCTGGGTTTTTATTTCCCCATCAACATACAGATTTTATTCAGTCATCAATGATTCTGAATCATGTTTTTGTTATGTTTCAACATAATCAAAATAATCTTAATATTTTACATGGCAGAACACACAAGAGGAAACAAAACAGGCAGATGAATTGTTTTGACACTGCTTCCTCTCAAATTTTCCTTAAAATCGACACCTTCTGTGACAATACTTTGATTTTGGCAAAACTGCCTGTGCTGCTGGAAAGATTGCACCATCTAAGGACTTTTTGACCAGGTCTAATTAGTAGCGTGGGTAGTGGGGCTACAAAGCACTTTGGCAGGATCACAGCAGTGGTGATTTGACAAGATCTAATTTTTCCTCCGGGAGACTCTTTGGGGAATAAATCTCTCTTCAGTGACTAATTACCTGTTTGAAGAAGGAGAGCCCCATGGGTGAGGAGCTGGAGGTGAATTAAACTGCATTCCTTAGGCCATTAACAACCTGCAAAGGGAGAAACTTTAGGAGGTAAAAAGTATGGAAAAGTTCAAATGGAAAAATCATTAGCTTTTCTTCTTTTAGCTTCCATACCACAGGAGAACAACAGTCTAAAGCTGTTTTTCTCCCCTTCTCTCTCCTTGGTCCTCCCTTCTCAAAATGCAAACATCCCTCCTCACTCCCCAGGGTGCTTCTGCCCCCTGCCAGGAGCCCCCAGATCTGGGGGAGCCCTGTGTCCCCTCCAGCCCCGCTGTCTCACCCACAGGTGGAACCCTCTCCTGCTCTGCTGATCATGGTCAACAAGACCTTAAACTACTGGGGTCCCGGCTTTGAGGAGGACGTTATCAACATCAACGTGGGCGGTCTGAGGAGGCGGCTCAGCTCCAGCGCGCTCTCCAAGTTCCCCGACACGCGCCTGGGACGGCTGCTCTCCTGCGACTCGGAGGAGTCCATCCTGCAGCTCTGCGATGACTACGACGTGAGCGCCAGGGAGTTCTACTTCGACCGAAACCCCGGGTTCTTCCTCTACGTGCTGCACTTCTACCAGACGGGCAAGCTGCACGTCATGGAGGAGCTGTGCGTCTTCTCCTTCTGCCAGGAGATCGAGTACTGGGGCATCAATGAATTCTTCCTGGACTCCTGCTGCAGCTACCGCTACCACGAGCGCAAGCTGGAGAGCCGGCACCACAACTGGGATGAGGAGAGCGAGGTGAGCAGCGTGGACACGTCCCCCGATGAGATCTCTGACATCAACCACGACCTGCTGCGCTACAGCACGCTGCGCTGCGGCAACCTGCGCAAGCGCCTCTGGCTCACCATGGAGAACCCCGGCTACTCCATCCCCAGCAAGCTCTTCAGCTTCGTGTCCATCAGCGTGGTGCTGGTGTCCATAGCCACCATGTGCATCCACAGCATGCCCGAGTACCAGGAGGTGGATGAGAATGGCAACGTGCTCGATGAACCCATCCTGCACAAGCTGGAGTATTTCTGCATCTCCTGGTTCACCTTTGAAGTATCCTCCCGCCTCCTGCTCTCACCCAACCCCAGGAAGTTCTTCAAGCACCCGCTGAACCTGATTGACATTGTCTCAGTGTTGCCCTTCTACTTCACCCTGCTGGTGGACGTGACCATGGGCAGTGACTCGGAGCTGGGCAACCTGGGCAAGGTCGTGCAGGTGTTTCGGCTCATGAGGATATTCCGGGTGCTGAAGCTGGCTCGGCACTCCACTGGACTGAGGTCACTGGGGGCCACCTTGAAGGTAAACTGGCTCTCTGTCTCCTTACCTACTCCTTTAGTGCCTAGTAGGGCTGAGAGTGAGCTGCTGAGCAGGTAGCAGGCCAGCCAGCATCTGCTGGGTCTGCCAGCACCAGTGTGTGTGGCTCAGGGCTGCTCCTGTCCCCTTTCTGGGAAATGGGGAACCCTCCTAAGGGCATGCTGCCAGCTGACCAGAGGCCAGTGTCCAGCCCCTGGTGTCTGCCCGTTTAGGGAAACAGAAATCCTGCTGCAGCTGAGTTGATAATTGAATGCTTCAGGACACAATGAGGCTGGCACAAAGCAGCAATAGAACAGCAGTGGGTGAGTTGCATGGCTTGAGACAGCCAGCCCCAGGCAGGGTCTATGCCCTCAGCAGAGCCTGGGTTTCCAGCAGCTGCCCCTCAGTGTGACAGAAAACTTGGCATGCAGGGCTGGGGGAAGCTGGTCCCAGGACCTTGTGGGCCTCAGGAGGAAGGTCTGGAGGAAATGCTGACCAAGTGGAGGACCAGGATTCAGGTATTCCTACAAGTGGCATCCCTGCAGGTCTGGTGAGAGGGACCACATCCCCCATAACATGCCCCAAGGCTGTGTTTCTCCAGACCCCCACCCACAGCACCCCTGGCCTCTTCAGACAGACCAAGGTCAACTTGAAATCTGCCGTGCAATCCTCACTACCCCAGTGCTGCAGCCAGACCTCCATCACTGCAGCTCAGTGGTGAAGCAGAATCAGCTTCCATACCCAGTGTGGTTCTGCTCACCCCCACACTCTCTCCCCTCCATCCTCCTTCTGCTGAGGGCCATGTTCCGAATCTGGGGAGGAGGAAACTCACATCCTGCGCTTACATAGAAAATCCAGCCTGGTGCAGAGACAAACTCAGCCTTTAATTGTCCATGTTTCCCGGTGATTGCATCAATAGGAATCCTAAAGCTGATCCTTGAGCCTGCTCAGAGTGATGTGTACTCCCAATGCCCTGCCACACATGGAGCTGGTGCTGGGCATGGGGGGATGATCACCAGGGCAAGCATTGCCTCTTCTTGGGTCAATTGCACAAATATCCCTGTGCTTTACCCCCTTCAAACAACTGGTGCACCACACGAATGGCCAAGGAAGCAATCTTTGTAACACAGCCTGAAATTCAACCAAAGGGCCACTCTCCTCCCACTCAGTGCCTGGCATGGGAGGGAGCTGCAGCTCCTGGTGCTGGTCCCTGTGAAGGGCCGTGTCAGGGATGAGTGGCTGGGGACGCCCTGTTTTCACTGCTGCAGCAGGGACAGGGCTGGCATGGGGTGTACTGGCATCTGCAGGTCTCGGCTGCTGGGGCTGGACCCGTTCCCGTGGCTGAGTCATGGAGGAAAGCAACCACTGAGTGTGAGTGGGGGTGAGGATGGGCAGCAGGAAAGGTCTTGTGCCAGCTTCTGCTGTGACGCAGGATCAGCCCTGCCCAGAGCTAATCTTGCAGAGCCCACAGAGCATCAAAATATTCCTGGCATCCTCAAAGCCTGCTGAAAACAGAGTCCAGGGTGGGTTGCTTGCATTGAAGATGCCTGAAGTCCTACCTGCATCATACTTGCTTCTGAACACTCACCTTGAGAGGGCACTGACAAGTGACAGACTCAGGTAAACCTGCTGGTGAAATTTAAGCAAACTTGCACACATGGAAAGGGCTTCCTGAGTCCTGCTAGTGCTCCATCCAGTGCACCTTTCAGCAGAGCAGGCAGTGATGGACTCGTGTGCACATTACTAAGCAGCAGACGAGATGTGGGGAGCCGGCAGCGCCGCGGCTCCGGCTCTGACGAGCGGCTGGAAGCACCCAGTGACGTGCTGGAAGGTGCCCCTTCCTGGGGACTCCGTGGCCAGCTCCAAACGGGGATGAGCAAAGACACAAATCCGATGCAGCAGCTTGGCATTGTGATTTAGTGGGCACATAAATTACGACGTCTTGTTAATCATAATTTACTTCCTATTGCGAGAGCAGAAAGCAGGAGCAGAGCAGTGGAGGCTGTTAACAGCCAGGGAGCGGGAGCGAGGGCTCTGGCAAGCTGAGTGATTGTTCCCCTGCCACGAGAGTGCTAGCAGAGGGAATTCTGCCATTTGTGCATCGTAAACCCTGAGCAGTCCTCAGATTGCTTGGGGCCTGATCCACAGCATGTTTAATTTGAGGAGAGGCTTCCTACACATCTCTGCTCTTCCTCCCCGCCATGCCTGACATCCATTACTGCTACTGCAGCTCCGTGGGTGTGGGTTTGGATCCCCTCTCACACTGGCTGTCGGTAGATGTTGGTCCCTGGGTAATTACAGGACATACAGGGATCTTCAGGAGTTGCTGTCTGTCCCCTCAGGGGCCTAAATACATGAGGAGGTTGGAACTGAGCACATCCCGTGTCACCCTGCTGTCACTGCCACAGCCCATCTCTGCTGGTCTCCACACTGCTGTTTCTGGCAAGACTCAAAGTAGGCTCTTGCATTCCGATTGTCTTCTGCTGAACTGGAGGAAAGATGTGCATTTGGCAGGAACCTGGAGAGACTGCTGCTTGGAGGGCTTTTTGCTGGAGTCTTTTATTACCTAGCATTGCCTCCCCCAAGGATGGCTGCTTGCTAAGCCTGCAACCCACCCAAACGCTGGTTAAAACTGCATCTCACTCAAACCCTATCCAAGCCTGCATCCCACCCAGTCCTTGGCTAAACCTGCATTCCATCTGAAGCCTGGCTAAGCCTGCATCCCACTCAAACCATGGCTAAAACTGCATCCCAGCCAAACCCAGCTGCAGCTGCCTTTACCCTCAATCAATGAGCAATCCAGAAGTTTTGCAGATAAAGGGCTGCAAATAGATGGCAGCCAGTGCCTGAGGATCAGTTGGGAGATTTCTGGAGCCTTCACTGTGCTGCAAACCCTGCCCCTGCATGTAAATTGAAGCAGCAGGAGCTATGGAGCTGCCTGACTTCCCCTTTGCCTTCCCCCTCCAACACATCCCAGGGCCAGAACAGATACTCTTTAAAAATGCATGAGGTTATTTGGTGCTGCTGGTCCCCAGCTGGGATGTACAGACCTGCTGTTAACTCCCAGCCAGGAGCAGGTCATTCTTGGCCAGGTGATCACCCTTGGCTCTGAGCTCTTTGTCCTCCTTGAGGAGCTCCCTTGGCACTGCCATTGGGCATTTGCAGCCACAGGTGAGGGAGGAGAAAGAGGAGGAAGAGAAGGTTATTTGGTATTACTGGCATTATCTGAGCAGCTTTTGCCAGCTGTCTAAGCAAAGTCTCCTCATTCCCTGCCATGAATCCACCTCCTTTTAAGTCTCATCCTGACCACAGAAGCCTTTTCCCACATCTGCTGCTGTTTGCTTTGCTCAAATGTTGTTTCCCTTAGCTATTATGTGGTCTCCAATAAAGCATTTTCTGCTTGTTAGGAGACTGGGAAAAAATCTCCTCAGTCAAAGCTCTGCTTTCCTTTTCCCAAAAGATGAAGAACAAGCTGGCAGGTCAGTGGGCAGAAACATCCAAAAAAATTCACTTCTGGCAGTCAAAAAGTGATTGGACAAGCCATGCTGGGAGGATGGTGGTGGCTGCCTGTCCCCTGGCAGTCCCCTCCTGCCATGACTTGCTGCCTGCTCCTCCAGCTGCCCACTGCCCTTTCCCCCTGGGCTTCTGGCACAGGTTTATACTTTGTTCAAATGTTAGGAATATAAAAAGAAAGATCGCAGCACAAAGGTTTTAGGTTGAAACCAGAGAAATGGTGTCTTCTTCAAGGAGTGTTGCATACCTCTGCCATCAGAGCTGGGTGTCCCATGGGAATGTCCCAAGGCTCCCAGACCCCTTGGGCTGCATCCCACCAAGCTGGGGCTTGCAGCACCCTGCAGGATGGGTGACACTGGATGGGTCCCTGGTCTGCCCTGATGACCAGGGATGTTTGGTTTCCTGTCAGCTCTGATGTGATATTTCTACATGTGTGTAACAAAGGGTTTCATGAATGCTGAGGCTCCATGGTGTTGGGGTACAGGAGGGACCCTGGGGCTCAGGAGTCCCCAGGGAGCCTGGGCTGAGGCCTGGGTAAGAGCTGAGCTGAGCTGAGCCTGCAGCAGAGACCACGTCCCTCCTGTGAGCAGTGCCAGCCACTCAGGAAGGTACAAATTGCTTCTTTTAGTGGCTGCCTATTAGGTGGCTTCTGGGGACCTGCCAAGATAAAAGGAAAATGTGCTAAATATTGTTAGCTGAGATCAGGCCAGAGTGAGTGCTGGAGGCAGGGGAGCAGCCTCTGCTGGGGATCCCTGCCTGGGGAGCACAGATCTGTCTTCCCTCCCAGCACTCACAGGCTGGTGGAGTGCAAAGAGGCAGCTGTGGGTGCCAGGAGCAATTCCTGGCTGTATCTGCTTGCTCCAGATGTGAGTCACTCCTGCCCCACCCCTGGAGCAGGACATCCCACAGCAGAGGTGGATGGAGGCACTGGGATCCCTGGTGGAGGAGTGCAGGGATCTCTGTGTCCTGAGGTGTGCAGGGTCTGTGCAGGGATCTCTGTGTCCTGAGGTGTGCAGGGAGTCTGTGCAGGGCTGTGTTTGCACCGTGGGATCTTTGTGGCCTGAGGTGTGCAGGATCTGTGCAGGGATCTCTGTGTCCTGAGGTGTGCAGGGCCTCTGCAGGGCTGTGTTTGCACCGTGGGATCTCTGTGTCCTGGTCAGTGGCCCCCACTGACCGAGGCTCTGCTTTTCCTTGCAGCACAGCTACAGGGAGGTGGGGATCCTGCTGCTCTACCTGGCTGTGGGGGTCTCTGTCTTCTCTGGAGTGGCCTACACTGCTGAGAAGGAGGAAGACGTTGGCTTTGACACCATCCCAGCGTGCTGGTGGTGGGGCACGGTCAGCATGACCACCGTGGGCTACGGGGACGTGGTGCCCGTCACCGTGGCGGGGAAGCTGGCGGCCTCGGGCTGCATCCTGGGGGGCATCCTGGTCGTGGCGCTGCCCATCACCATCATCTTCAACAAGTTCTCCCACTTCTACCGCAAGCAGAAGGCGCTGGAGGCGGCCGTGAGGAACAGCGGCAAGGAGGAGCCCGAGGAGGCGGGGAGCAGCCCCAGCCATGAGCGGGACTCGGAGGCTCTGAGCGACACCTCCCTGGACAGGGGCAGCCCTGACCGCCGTGGTCTGACCCCCGGTGCCCACCCCAGCCCCTGAGCCCTCGCTCTGCAGCCCTGGGGCACGTGGGACCTGCTGGGACCCACCTGGGACCTGCTGGGACCCACCTGGGCACGTGGGACCTGCCTGCTCATGGTGAGCACGGCACCGGGACACGGTGGAGGAGCCACGGCCAGCATCATCCTGAGAAGGACAGGAGGGGTTGGAGGAGATGTTGGAGGGTGCTGGCTGCTTCCAGACCCTGTGCCTGCCTGGATGTGTCTCAGCCTTCACCCTTGCTCACCCGTGGCTGCAAAGGGAGGTTGTGGTGCTGGATATACCCCTGCCAGAAAGGGAGGCAGAAAATAAGAAATACAAGTGAGCCCTGATGAGGCACTGCCCCAGGTGTATGGAGAGGGATTTTCCTCTGCCCTAAAGTTTTGTGTTGTCCAGGGTGAGGTTAAATAGCTCAAGGATGAGGCAGCCCTCAACCAGGCTGGCAGTCCTTACAGATCCTGTGCCATGTTGACAACTCCAGCCCCAGCCTTGTCCTACCCCAGCAGGAAACAGGCTCAAAAGGCTCAACTGCCCCTCCAGCCATAAAGGAAAGGGGCCTGGGAATGAGCCTGGATGGGAGGAGAGGTAGTGTCCAGCTCAGGGTGAGCCCTGTGGTCCCCAGCCCCTGCAGTGGGATCGACTGAGCCCCACCTTCTTTCCACTGCTAGGATTTATCTGCTGTCCTGCACTGCCACTGCCGGGACCCCAGGGATCTGGGGCTGTGCTGGGAGTGTGGCTCAGCTGGGAGCATGTCCACCCGTGGGGAGGGACACTGCCCACACACGGGGGGTGACCAGGATGGCAGAAGGAGCCCTGTGCTCTGAGGCAGCAGCAGGCAAAGGGGTCAAGCTGGGGGAGCTGGGGAGCCAGTCCCAGTGGGGCTGTCCCCCAAGCCCTGGTTTCCCTCACCACAGCCCCATGCCTGGCGTTATCCTGCCTCTTCCCTCCCTGTCTCAGGGCCAGGCAGGGCCAGGAGGGCTGTAAGGAGGGGTCACACTGCCCCAGTGTCCTCACAGGGAGCTGAGCTGCTGCTGCACTCACCTTCCCCCTGCAGGGAGGGAGCTGGGGCACAGGGGACCTTGCACTGCTATTGTCACCACAGCCTCTGAGCACCTCAGCCAGGCAGGGAGGCCGGCCTGGAACACAAACCCCTTCCTGCCCTCACCCCAGCCCACCTGAGCACTTTCAGGGCTGCTCCCAGCACAGCATCAGTTCCCTACAGAGCTTTTCCTCGCCCTCCCACCCCTGTTCTGTTTGGAAATTGTGCAGCCCCGTTGCACACAGAGGAGTGCACCCAGCAATGCCTGTTTAGAGCAGGAGAAATGTGCATCCCACAGTCCCAAACCACCTCAAACACTCATTAAAGGCTGCAGGATGACCCCAGGTCCCTGGATCATGGCTTTGCTGCTGCTTCTCCTGGCTGGTTTCAGCACAGCTGTAGCTGCTGCTGCTGGCTCTGCCTGTAGCAATCTGCTGGTCACAGGCAAGGAAAGCCAACACTGGTGCAGGTCCAGCTTTCCAAGCCCAGTGGGACTCAGGGAGGGTCCCCAAGGATTGGTGGTGTGAGATGGGAGGCTGCTCACGCTTCTGGCATCATCAAGTCTTCCAGTACCAACTCCATGGTCTGCTCTGTGCTTATTCCTGCTGGGAGCTGGGACTGGAGAGCAGCACCCTCTGCTCCAACCAGCTCCTGCTGCACTGTTACTTGAATACAGGAAGGAGTTTCCCCTTCTCAACATAAATATTCCAGTAGCAAAATGTATTCAAATGTGAAGAGTAAATTATATCTATTAATGAAAAAGCATTATGCAAATAATTAGGAGCATGTAAATTAATTTTCTATCTATGCATGGGATGCATACTGTATATTTTATTAAAGACCTCAATGACCTGCTGTGGATGCTGGTTTCTGTTTTGTGGCAGCTGGATGTGCTCATGGGCTGAGCCAGGGCTGGGTCAAGGTGGGCAGAAGCAGCCAAGCTGCTCCCACAGTGCTGCAGGTCCCTGCCAGCTAGCTCCAGCCCCACCTTGGAGCCCAGCAGAGTTCCACCCCAGTCCTGCTCTGGATGGTGTGCTGACAGCCAGTCCTCGTGCCTGGACCACTGCTGTTATCCTGGCTGGAGCAGCTGGAGTGACCCACCTTCCTGAGGCATCCATGGGCTGGGAGGGAATGTGCTGGAGCTGGTGGGCTCTGGGAAAAGCCACTTGGGGAGGCAGGCATCACAGCTGGGAGGGAGGAAACCCTGGTGCTGCCTGTGGCTCTCTGATGCTCTGAAATGAGGGGGTGTCTCTGGTCTGTTGCTCTGCAGGGGCTGGCTGGGGAGGGCACCACTGCTCTCCCTGTGTCTGGGCATGATGGGGTAAAAAGTTCAATCTTTATTCCTTTGACAGCTTTCCAATTAAAAAAAAAATTAAAAATGCACATGCTGCCAATCATTCCAAGGCAAAAGCTGCCCCACCTTGGGGGCTACGAGCAAGGCAGGACCTGTGAGCCCCCTGCCACGTGGCAAAGGCCCATCAGAGGGGGCTGGTGCACGAGAGCCCCAGGCTCGGCTTTGGGAAAGCCACGAAAGATGTTTTCTTTTTATAGCCTCCTGCTCTCTGTGAAGACATTAGGATTTGTATGGCTCTGAGTAAGTGCACCAGGAAAATCCTCCCACTGCTGTGCAGGCAGATCTGGCAGAGCTGGCGCTGTGCAGAGCAGGAAGGTGCCCAGCAGCAGGGTGGGCGAGCACGGCCCACGCTCCCCGAGCACGGCTGTGCAGCACGGGGCTGCAAGGACAGGCCTCTCTTACTATTTCTGAGGCAAGCAGGAAACTCGTGTTCTTTTGCTAATCCCTAATCAGTTTTCCTGAGTGGCTGCATTTTCATTTGATACAGTGGGTAAATCAATTACACACTTTATCAGGTTATTCCTACAAAGCTGCTTTCCACATTCACCAAATGATTGACTAAAGCATGACTCTCTTGCCTCCAGGGAATGGTGATTAAGGAGTGACCTTATTAAGCTATTTAATGCAGCTGAGAGTTAGACAACTCTGCTCAAAGAGACAAAGTAAACTTCATTACCTTTGTTTAAAACTTCTTTTCCTTTGCCAACTTTCAGATCCATGACTACCCTGAGCGTGGTCTGTGCACTTGGCTGGTAATTAGAAAACCAGGAGATTTTAAAGGGCTTCATCAATAAGAAGGAAAGATTCCTCACTGGTAGTGTTTCTGGGATCTCCCCTGCTCAGATTTTTACAACCCTGCTAACCTCAGCAAAAATCAGATCTCACTGCTTGAGCTCACTGCTTGACACGTTTAATCAGTGTTACTTCTATTTGCTGAACTATGTAAGGAGATCAGTAAAAACAAACAGTGCAGTAATTCCTTTTTTTTTTTTTTTACAAAATAATGCTAAACCACTTTTGCCTTGTAGTGAGACAGCCCTGAGGTCTGCATACACTTATAGGTTCATTTTAGCCTTTACCTGAACCCAAGCTGCTAACTTAGTTGTAGGAAAGACACAAAATCAAGACTTCCAACCATCTGAGAAAGCCAAATGAGCAGCCTTGAAGGCATGGAATTAAATTAACCAAATGTGCCTAGACAGGTCACACCATTTCAGGGAATAAAACCCCCAGGTCAGGCATGCAGGGAGGCACAGCACCAGCAATGCATCTTCACATCCAGACCTTGAGCAGAGTGGGAGAAACTGCCCCACATTTCTTTCAAGATCGTGCTCTCTGTATGAAGGAATATTGGTCCAGAGCTTGTGAGCCCCTTGGGCTGAGGGAAATGCACCCTGCAGCTCAGCTGTCTGCTGCCTGTGCACAGACAGGGCTGCAAGAGGCTGCTGTCACACTCAGGATGGGGCTCAGGGACTCTGGGCTCCCTCCACGTCCAGCCCTGTATTGATTTGGACAGCAACACCCTAGAGGGGAGCAGGACAGTCTTTCATAGATGGAATTGAATTGTTTTAAAGTTTTTAAGCACATTGGCTTTCTTCCTGGGCTCTTAAATTAAAGAGCAATTAACTTTCAGTCTAGAAAGAGCTGATGGGTATTTCCTGGTTTGACTCGTCAAAATTTTGCCAAAATGATTAGTGAAATGAAAAATTGTCAACTCTCGAGGCAGGGCTGTCAGCCAACACCCAGCATTTATCCAAGCTCAGACTCTTTTGGCCTGTGGACAGCAGGAAATGGTACAAAATGAAGGTGTAGGAAATGAGTAGCTGGGCAAAAAGGACACTGGCACAGCAGCTCCTTTACCTTAGTGCTAATAGTTATTAAAAGTGCTGGTGCTATGGGCTTAGTGGAGAGCTGTTTTTTTCCCTTTATGGGGGAGAAAACCAAGGCTAACCATCAGCCTCAACTCGTGGGTGCCTGTTGCTGGGTTTGTTAGCCACATGCAGAAGTTTGTGCAGCAGGTGCAGTGCACACAAACACTCCCCTGGTATGGCTGCACAACCCTCCCTCCCTTTGCTCTGGGGCTCCACAATATCCTGGTAATGTTGCTGAGAAGATGCGAGAGCTCCAGGCTTCCCCAGTTACTAGAAAAGCCCGCAGCCTCCCTCCCTTTGATTTCCAAGCTCCTTCCCAACACTTAAAAGCTCAGATCTATTTTGTTTCTTCCGGAATTGCTAACCAAAGCTGACTCCTGAATGAATTCTGTCTCTGCTCCAGTTAGTCATCCCTCCAGGACAGATTTAGTAACTGCTCAGGGAAACCACATCGAAGCCAACAGTTCACCATTGGAAGGCAGCACCCACTCACTGTCAGCTTCATCTTTTCCTGAGCTAGAAAGCTCAAAGTGCAGCAAGCGAGCCAGAATTAGGAGTGAGCCTCCAGCCTCACCTGTTGTGTAGGAAGGTGGATAAATTGGTATGTACCTAGCCCCAAATGTGCCTGCAGGCTCAGGGAAGCTGCTGCAGAGACAGCAAGGACCTACAGCAGAGCTCAGCATCCCCATCTGCCAAAGCACCCATGGGGCAAACATCCCTCTGCAGGGCTGGAGCTCCAGGCAGGGCTGCTGAGCATCCCCTGCTGAACCCGACAGGGCTGCTGAGCATCACCTGCTGAACCCCACAGAGCTGTTGAGCATCCCCTGCTGAACCCCACAGAGCTGCCAGCACGTGGAGTTGCCCCTCTGCTCAAGCAATCTCACCCCAGGCTGCAGAATTAGTAAAGTTTTAAAACATGTGTCTGACACGATCACTGCCTGTGTTCCTGGAAGCTTGTGGTCTCCTCCAGAATGTTGCATAACGTTGGCTGAGTGGAGGTGCACCACGTTAAAACTTGTCCTGGTAAACAGGAGCACCCCCAAGTACTGCAATGCACAAATATGAGACACAACACTGATGCTTTCAGGTAGGGACAGTTTATTTGCCCCTTTGAACAAATAAGGCAAGATATTTGAGAAAGATCAAACAAAATCTCCTGTATCAAACTGAGAGGAATGCAATAAAAGTTACTGTTCCATACATATACAAACTAAAGACCCAATACTATTATATACAAACAGCCAGATCTTACAAAACAGCATTTCAAGTCAGCAGTTTATGCCAGTGTTGCTAATTTCTTTGTTACAAAAAAAGTTAAAGCTACAAACTTCACATTTGTAAGTCTCACATGACTGACACCATCAGTATCTCTGGGTTTCAGAAGCAAAGAGAATGGTTTGTCCAGAACCCTTTCCAAATGCAGATGGACCCAAGGAGCACATGAATGCAGCTTCTCAATTAAACAAGTTTCTTCCTTAAAACTTTGTCAAAATCCTTCCCTTATGGTACCAGCCTTGATCATAGCTTGGAGGACTCTGAGGAATGAACAGGTACTGTGCTCCCAGACATTCTACAAAGGGACCAAAAAGGGAAACATTTTCTCCAACAAATTGAAAATCAGTGAAGGAGAAAATAATTCCTCTGCACTACAGCTCCAAATGCAAGAAACATCATTAAGTCTCACCCACTGCAAGCATTTGAGAAAGGTTCAAAGACAGTCAAGCCATTGGATCAGTTTTAGTTATTTTGGTTCGTTTGCTATATTTTAAGACAATCACGTCAGCAAAGCAGAGTATTTCAAGAGTGCTTACATTCAGTTACAGCAGTCACAGGTTGCATATTCTGTAAATAGACACCACCCCGTGGTGTTTCACCTTAAAGTTGGGGTTTCTAATGCCCTCTGATCTCTACAGAGTTATCTATACAGTGCAGAGGAAAAAATCCTTCCAGCAGAACAGGACTGACCCACACCACACAGGCAGTGCACAATTTACCACGTCACAGATCTCTGTGTCTGTCACACCAGAGCTGCTGGGCCAGATCCACCCAAGTGACTTATTCAAGATCCAACACTGACCACAGAACTCCCTGCTAAGCTGGAGTTTCTTTGATGCAAAGGATGCTCATGAAAATTGCTCATCATAGAGACATGGTGAGGGCAAAGCCTATTGCACAGATTCCAGATGAGCACGGGATGAGCCCTGATGCTCCCCAGCAGCTGGGGCTGTCAGATTGCTGTGCCAGGACGTACTCCTCCTGCAGCACCCTGCATACACTGCTCACTGCCTCCCTTCCTTAGGACAGCTGTGATCCCACTGCATCAGCTAACTGAGGCAAAGCCATGCAGTGAGCCCTGCAGAGGGTAAGGATGGCTTGGTTCCTTTCACAGCTGTGGAGCAGAACTGTGAGCAGCAGCCAAGAGCCTGCTCCAGGGGGGAAACAAGACCCTACAGAAACACAAAACAAACACATCACCTCTGTAGCAGCATTTGATTCAGGAGACACTGCTGTTTAATCATCCAGGTGATGTACCAAGGCCTAGTTCAGAAGCACGACGTGGAAACTGTTCCCTCTATCAGAGCAAAATAAAAAAAACCATTGGTACAAACAACTTGCTCTGCCCAAACACT